TTTTGCTTCAGAATCATAACTGCCGAGAAGGTCTCAAGCGAAACGGCCGGCCCGCACTAAAAACAGGCCTCGGGGTGCGACAGGTAGAAGTTATTCATAAGGAAAAGGAATGAAGGAGAAGGAGGAGGAGGAGGAGGAGGAGGAAAAGGGACAGGAGAAGGAGAAGGAAGAGGAGGAGGAGGAGGAGTAACGGAGGAAGTGGCCCATTGCTTTTTTCAGTATCGTGCGCCTCCAGCCCGAGTACCTGGCGCAAAGCTCTGGCCGCGTCGCCCTGCCGGCGTGCCTCCCCCCCTCGTGCTCCCAGGGGGGCCGCGTGGCAGTTCGTGCGCCCGGCGCTCCGGCGGGCCACCCCCCCTGCGGCCAGGCGTCCGCACGCCCCGCCCAAGCTCGCCAGCGGCCTTCCTGGCACCGAGGCGATGCTTCTCCGCCGCCGCAGCGGGAGCCGCGGCCCGCCGCGGCCCTCGCCCGCCCACACTGCTGCGCCGCTCTGGCGGCACTTCCGCAGCTCTCCTCAGGGTGCTCTGCCGCTCCCCACACATCGACAAGGCCGCCGCCACCGCCCAGCAATCTCTCTCCTCCGCCAGGTGACGGGTACCCCACAGCCTCCCGTTGAGGCCGCCGCCGCGGTTCCTCCTCTCTTCCTTGGGGGATGGGCACCCCGCAGCATCTCGTTGAGGGTGCCGCCACAGACCCCCCCTGCCCTCCCCAGCACTCTTCTGTACTGCTGCGCAGGGGGGGACGGGCGCCCCTCCGCCTCCCGTCGAGGCCGCCACCATGGCACGCCCCTCCTTCTCCTGCGCCGCCAGTCACCTCGGCAGCCCGACCATAGACTCTCTCTCGCCGCTCAACCAGTCGCGACGTGCAATTCCTCATCCTTCCTACCTCTACCTTCCGCCTCCTTGTCGGGCACTCCCAAATCTCCCCTGCGCGAGGATTCGAGCCACGTGTGCAGGCGGGTCGACGCCGTCTCCTCTCTGTCGAGGGTTGCACGCACCCTCTTGGAAGTCCTGGGCGTCGTAAACCCTTCCAGACTCATCAAGGCCTCCTCCATCATGTCAACAGCTAGCTGGCGGGGCTCCCCGTAGAGCCCACCCCACCTTGATCATCGATCCCGACGTCGCCACCCTTGATGTCTGCTGCTCGAGTCTCGCCCATTTCAAAAGGGGCGGGGGGGGCTCTCCCCCGCGCTGCTGGCGACCCCCCCTCATGATCCATCCTGCCATCTACATGCCTTCCGCTGCCTTCCGCCTCCCTCAGCCTCCGCGCGCCGAAGCGCCGTCTAGGTATCGCTGAGTTTCGTGATCGCCTTCCCCTGGGCGATGTCGTGGACGTGGTCAGCGCTGCACCGAAAGTCCAGGAATTCGTTGGCATCCTCACTCGTGGCGGCGATGCAGGTCGGCTTCAAGCGGAAGCCGCCTCGCGAAAAACGCAGAATCAGCGCGCTGGCACCGCCAGACCTGGTGCCAACCCGGTATGGCGAGCACGCGCTGCGGCCTGCCCCGCGCCCTGGAGAACAGCGGATTCTCCGCCGCGCAATGTTTGTCCACCACGACAGCGAAGACCCCCCCCTCCCGCTAGACCAGATAAAGACCGCGCACTCGCGATTCATTGAGGGCAACGAAGCAGCATGATGCAGTGCATGGCCAACTCAGGCACGTTTCGTGGGGATCGCAACTCCAGGCGATGCAATGCAGCATGCCGCGGTCGCAGCGTCTGCGGGGCTCCCCACCATGATTGAACTCGATATTGATGGCGCCCCCTGCCTCTCGCAGATCGCCTCCGCGATGCGCGCCTTGCCTGCGAATGTCTGTCGGGAATCCAACCGCAACCCACTTTCTAGCAAACGCCGCGTTTGGTTTCCCAGCCGTTCTCGGAGGGCGTCCTCCGAGAGCCGCTCCCCCCCTGGCTCGCCTGCGCGATGATCCCCCTCCTCCTCCTCCTCCTCCTCCTCCTCCTCCTCCTCCTCCTCCTGCCTCCCCTTCCTCCTCCTCCCTCCCCCTCCTCTTTCTCAGCTGCCCCTCTCAGCCCTGGTCCTTTCGAGGAACAGGGTCGCGCTGGCGGTTGCCCCCTCGCGCAGCAGGCCCGCCGAGAAGCCCGGGGCGGGGCGCGCAGGCACCATTCCTTTGGCTGCCTCCGCGCACCTCTAGCACGCCACTGCCCAGGGCGAGCCGTCGCGGTCAGGCGTCGAGGGGCAGCTAGCTCCAGCAACGCCCCCCGCCCAAGGGCGGGCACCCTCTGCGCCTTGACCCCTGCGTCCTACAGCCTAGCGACGACGTCCACCTCCAGCGCGGCGAGCGCGCGCACGTGCTCCTTGAAGGCCGGGGCCCGCGCGATCTTCTTTTCGCTGTGGTCGCACGCCGGCCCGGGAACGAGCTCCACCGCGGGGCGGCCGAAAGTTTACCCGAACGCCCCCCAAGAGCCCCGGCGCCTTGGCATGCATGGCCTTGGGTGGGAGGGCCGCGCGCGTGCGGCAGTCCTGTCGCGGCCCCAATGGGCAAGGTCGTGGCCGAACACCCGAAGGTCAGCTCCCGCCTGGGCGAGGGCCCCTGGCGCCTCCCCCAAAGCTTCCGCCGCCGCCAGAGCTGCTCCTGGCACCTTTTTTCTCGGCTCCACGCTAGCTTGCTGGACGCACGCAGCGGACGGCGGCGTCGCCGATGGTGCGCTCGCCACAGAGGCTGCCCCACTCACTGAGAGCGCAGCCACAGCGTCGATTCACAACACACTCACGCCGCTCGGCGTCCGCAGGGTCAGATCGGGCCGATAGCTGCGGCCGCGCGAGCAAGTCGACCGCCCCCGCGTCCAGCGCCAGCGTGTCGCGATAGTCCAGCATCGTCCATTCCTTGCCCGCGAGGACCATGACGACCATGCCCTGCTCGTCCTCGGCCCCCTGCGTGACGGGCACCACCTGAGTCTGCGTCTGCGTCTCCTCTTCCGCCTTACCATTTTGCCAATGGGTGCCGAGGAAGCACTCCGCCTCGTCTGCCAGCTCGGGGCATCCGAACTCAACGGCGCTAGCAGCCAGTCTCTCAACGTCGCGCGCCTCGCAAACATCCCTGGCAGCCCGGGCCCGATTGCGAAGGTTGCAACCCGGCAGGCCGCGAGCTCTCGCCACGCGCTAAAGGCGCTCATCATCGGCGTCGATGTTCCTCGCGATATCCCATCGGCGGGCTAGCCCAAGGGACGAGTCTGA